ATCAAATCAATGTAAAGGTGTTGAGCACCTGTGGGATCCGAGATGGGGAGAATCTGAAAGAAGACGCTCAGGGCTTTGGGCTGAAACGCAAGTATCAAGTAACTTTGTGGGCGGGTCTTCATTATTCATAGGCGTGGTTTGGGCGTAACGTGAAATGAACCAATCCGAGCGTCATCCATCCATCAGAGTAGTTCACTTTTAAAAAAAAACTCATGTCATCCAAGATGTCCATGTCTTTCTGTCTTTAGTCGAAAAGAAATTAAGGTTTTTGATGAAAACATTCCAGGATTTTTCTCCATATAATGGACTTCAATGGGGTCCAAACGGTTAAAGGTCAAGACATTTTCAGTGCAAACTGTTCAAAGGGCTTCAAACGATTCCGGACGATGAATAAGGGTCTTATCATGCGAAACGATCGCTCATTTAATAAATAAATAACAAAGTTTAAGTTTTATAAGCACAAATGCTCGCCTTGCTCTGTTCTGTGATGAGCGTTCGAACTCGTTCATCAAAATGAACTTGTCAACTTGTTTGTTTCGTTCGTTGAATGAAATGACTCGGAAAAAGATTCGTTCATTTTGACGAACGAGATCGAACAGGAGACTTGTGTTACATTATGTACTAAACTGTGGGAAAGAAATCAATACTTTTTTAATGTAAGGATGCATTAAATTGATCAAAAGTGATAAAGACGATGTTACAAAATATCTCTATTTCAAATCCTGTTCTTTTTAACTTTCTATTTATCAAAGAATCTGGAAAAAAACAGTTTTCAACATTGAAAATAATCATAAATGTTTCTTGAGCATCACTCATATTAGAGTGATTTCTGAAGGATCATGTGACACTGAAGACTGAATAAATTCAGCTTTGATCACAGGATATAAATTATAATTTAACACACATTCACATAGAAAACTGCTGTTTTAAATTGTAATAATATTTCACTATTTTTACTGCTTTTACTGTATTTTTAGTCAAATAAATGCAGCATTGGTGAGCAGAAGAGACTTCTTTTAAAACCATTGTGAACGGTAGCGTATCATAATGAATGGAAGACAGATGAACAGAATTACAATCACATTATGCAAGAATAATATCACGATATTTTTTGCCACACCTCAAAATTAGAGCATTACCAGCCCATAATTAACGTTTTCCGTCCATTAAAACGCAAAAAGAAAATTGAAAGTCGCTGTTTTTCCTTTCAGCACAGACGAGTTCATCTCTAAACCGTCTCATAAAACACGAGGACACATCGAGGTCTTTTCATTTTGTGAGACGTGCTCACTAATAGAGTTCAGTTTCAGAGAGGTCGCAGTATGAAAATTGAAAATTGAAATTCACATCTTTTGTGTTGCACTGAAGTCATACAAGAACGACATGAGGTGAGTAAATGATGTAGGAATTCATAATTGTGCGTGAACGCCGGCAAGTCAATCATGCTGAGATTCAGCTGGACACTTTACTATTGCTTTGGTCGTGGTTTATGGTTTATGGTTTGGGATACTAATATCAATGCCAATATGGTTTCAAAGTGTCAATATGTCAGCTAATGTAGGGCTTAATGAACCAATAAGATCAGTGAGATCCTCATGAGAACAGAAGAGTGTGAATCGAGAGCCTACAGCTTCAGAGATCGGTCTGAGTCAGCCTCTCAATAGGAAATCAATATTGATGTTCTCAATTACAGGAGCGCTTAAAAGCTAAACGAGCTCCCTAACGAGTCATTTAATCTAGGCCACTGCTAGGTCAGAGAAGAGGCAGAGACGGGAAATGCTTCGAGGGAGAAAAACAAGTATCGGAGAGCGAATGTTCAGTTCTGGAGATCTGGACGTGACAAACTATAATATATCACTTGGAATATCAAAAGGAGACGCCTAACCTTCATAAAAGAGTTATTAGTCCACTAAAGAGGTCAAATTGATTCATCTCATGTTATCCCTTCATAAGGTTGCACAAATGACAGAAATATAGCTTAAAATGATAAGCCTATATATAATTTATAATATTTTTGTGTGAATGTGTGTCTATATACTATACACTCACCTAAAGGATTTTTAGGGACACCTGTTGAATTTCTCATTAATGCAATTATCTAATCAACCAATCACATGGCAGTCGCTTCAATGCATTTAGGGGTCAAGACAATCTCCTGAACTCCAAACTGAATGTCAGAATGGGAAAGAAAGGTGATTTTGAGCGTGGCATGGTTGTTGGTGTCTGAGTATTTCACAATCTGCTCAGTTACTGGGATTTTCACACACAACCCTTTCTAGGGTTTACAAAGAATGGAGTGAGAAGGGAAAAACATCCAGTATGGGTCAGTCCTGTGGGCCAAAATGCCTTGTTGATGCGAGAGGTCAGAGGAGAATGGGCCGACTGATTCAAGCTGATAGAAGAGCAACTTTGACTGAAATAACCACTCGTTACAACCGAGGTATGCAGCAACACACACAACCTTGAGGCGGATGGGCTACAACAGCAGAAGACCCCACCGGGGTCTAAAAAATAGGAAAAAAAAAAAGGCGACAATTTGCAAGAGTTCACCAAAACTGGACCGTTGAAGACTGGAAAAATGAGTCTCGATTTCTGTTGAGACATTCAGATGATTTGGCGTAAACAGAATGAGAACATGGATCCATCATGCCTTGTTCCCACTGTGCAGGCTGGTGGTGGTGGTGTAATGGTGTGGGGGATGTTTTCTTGGCACACTTTAGTGCCAATTGGGCATCGTTTAAATGCCACGGCCTACCTGAGCATTGTTTCTGACCATGTCCATCCCTTTATGGCCACCATGTCCCCATCCTCTGATGGCTACTTCAAGTTCCAGCAGGATAATGCACCATGTCACAAAGCTGGAATCATTTCAAAGTGGTTTCTTGAACATTACAATGAGTTGACTGTACTAAAATGGCCGCCACAGTCACCAGATCTCAACCCAATAGAGCATCTTTGGCATGTGGTGGAACGGGAGCATCATCCCACAAATCTCCATCAACTGCAAGATGCTTTCCTATCAATATGGGCCAACATTTCTAAAGAATGCTTTCAGCACCTTGTTGAATCAATGCCACGTAGAATTAAGGCGAAAGGGGGTCAAACACAGGATTAGTATGGTGTCCCTAATAATCCTTTAGGTGAGTGTATATTTGATCAATTTGCATTCATTCAATATGCTTGTATTATTTGTATAATATTATTCGTAACTAATTAGAGTCATTTCCCCCCCAATTTATCATGAGTGGAGTTGTTCAAATGAAGTGCACAAAATAAAGCCAGGGATGCAGATGCTGGTCACGTTTGGTGTACCGGGAAATACCGGGTAGCATTTTTAAAATAATGGAAATCACCAAAGGGAAGTGCAGAAGAAAAGGCCACGACGTCTCTGGAGGACTTGAAGATGTTCCGACTCTAAGCTTCACCATCAGAGTCCAAACACGACACGTGTTGAACACACTTGATGTTTCATTCATTTTAGCGATTATAATTTGAAAGATATTTGGGAGAAACTTGGTCTGAAATTCCTCCCTGAAGCTCCGTGATTTCTTCCTTGTCCTTTTAAGATAGATAAGAGGATATGTACCAATTTTTCCCGCTACGTTTTCAGGTTTTACCATTTTCCTTTAGTCGGGAGGTTCAGGTCAACATCACACGAGTCTGCGGATGGATAAAAAAGAATCTAACAGTTATTTATTTAATTTCTTATATACTCACTGACTTGCTTTGGAAACTGAGAGATAAGCAAAGGCTGAAGGTTATTACCTTCACTTTGTGTGTCTGAGGGCCTGAGTAAACATAAAATGGATTTAGATTGCATTTCTATTCCTCCATAGAGACCCGCGCTTGGGGTTGCTGATATTGGACGAACAACGTTTGTGGAATTAGCAAAGAGGAAGCAAGGCTGGGGTCTTTTTCCCAGTTATTGGATTCTTATGGAAACTGAGGCTATATATATATATATGGTTTCTCAAAGCAAGACCCTTTGGATTGCAGATGTAATGTGTGTGGGAAATACCTGATAACAGACGGATGGATTGTGTTTGACTTTCAAGTCCGGCGCATCGCTCAAGTCTGTTTGTTATAATATAGGATAAATAATAGTTTGTATCCCTAGGGGCCGATTTAATGTGTTTTTTTATATCAGATAATTGCAGATGGAAGCCAGGGGCCTTTAATTTCACTGTGAGTGAATGATTGTGTGTTGGTTAATAAAACGTAGAGAAAAGAAAAAGACTCAAGGTAAACACCTACAAAAATCTGACAAAAGTACTATAATTAGTGCATGAATTATGCCTTCGATACTGTTTACGGTGAGATGTTTCTGAAAGTCTCTTTTTCTCAGCAAGTCTGCATTTATTTGATCAAAAATACAGTAAAAATAGTGAAATATTTTATACAATTTAAATTGCTGTTTTCTATGTGAATGTACCCTACAATATAATTTATATCCTGTGATCAAAGCTGAATTTATCATCATTACTCCAGTCTTCAGTGTCACATGATCCTTCAGAAATCACTCTAATATGAGGATCTGATGATCAAGAAACATTTATGATTATTATCAGTGTTGAAAACATCTTTCGTTTTTTGGGAAACCGTGACATTTTAGTTCAGGATCCTTTGATGGATAGAAAGTTGAGAAAAGTATTTATTTAAAATATAATCTTTTGTAATGTTATAAATGTCTTAACTGTCACTTTTGCTCAATTTGATGTGTCCTTGTTGAATAACTTATTAAAATATCAAAAATAAAAAAAAAACGGTAACACTTTACTTGAAGGGGTGTGCATAAGACTGACATGATACCTTCATAATCATGACATGACACATGCATGTTTATAAAAACTGTCATTTAGAGTCATTCGCTTAATTATGACATTTTGAATGAAAAAATTATTAAAAGAAAAAAGAACAATTATTAAAAAATTGTCCAGAATAAAAAAATGTTCCCGGACGAGCCCCCAATAATATTATATTATACACACACAAACATTATGTCAACTGTGAGCACATATCAATTGCACATATAACATTTATACACAGATGCCATTAATTTATAAATACTATTTGTCCACATAAAATGGTTACCTAAATCACCTCACTCTTCATAACTGTTCTGTCCCTAAATACAATACGAGATTGTGCAAGATTAGATCCGCCGCACCACTATATGTCTTTTCCGATTGAGTCTCGAAGCTTCCACACTCCTCAATCCAATCATTTTGCATTCAGAGTGAAGAGAATGAACCACATGACACTCAGTGTATCGCCAATAGCGCTAATTAAAAGACTGCCTGCAAGTGTCCCAGTGGAAACCACTTCAAATCTGAAGAGGTGCGTTCATGACTTGAACCAAAGACCACTTTGAATGAATAACATTTGATTAACAAAGACCAAAGTCGGGTTTAAACGGAAACAATTTGACCCCTTCCCAAGATCTTGGCGCCAAGCGCACATTCAAACTGTTCAATAACTCATACTCATAACTTTTATTCATCACTTCAACTTCCCCTATTGATTTTTTCATGATTTTTCTTGAGTTTGAGTGATTGCTATTGACCTGCAATCACTTGAACCCATGCAGAAAATCCACACTTTAACCCTTCCATACCTGTTCAATCACCCTTTCGCTTGACTTAGTTTAGCCATCTGTACGTTATTAATAACGTTCCAGTGCCAACTTATCAAGTCAACTATAATTGAACTTCTGAAAACAAACCCCATAAACCCCCGAGGGCCGTCTGCCTTATTTAATCTGAATGGTTCTTGCTCCCTGCTAAGAAGATTTAAGCCAAAAACTTCATAATTTACTCACCTAAATGATATTACTTTGATTAAACGTGATATTTGTGTGTATGACACTGCACCTTTGATGTATTAGTGTTTCAAAGCTCGTTTTGAATCATCATGTCTGTCTCATTACCACTCGTGTTATTATAGTGGATGTTAATTATTGTTAAAGGAAAACAGATTTGAGTATGAGTGTGGCCGCTAATTCAGCAGAAATGTGCTGTTCAAGTTTT